ACCCGAAAATTCACGTATACCTTTTTATGACGGTCACCGGTCGCCGCGACGGCGTTCGACTGGACGCGCGTTTATTATACGGGGGGGGGGGGTGACGCGCGGTCTCTGCGCGCGCGAACGGCCGGCGGCGGCGTGGCGATTACCGAACGGCTATAATCGAAGCCGCACGTTTTCGGGACGGAAGACCGACGGATTTCGAGCGCGATAAACTGACGGGTAATCAATTACTGATTCGGTATTCGCGGCGATAGCGGCGAACGTTGGAAATTGTAAAACAAACGTTCTACACGCCGCCGCGCCGGCCGGCTCTTTTGTCGCTCGTTATCTATGTCCGCGTATACCGGACATTAGGAGGACACGCAATACCCGCGCGCGCCGTCTCCGTCACACGAAACCTGAGCTAACCTAACGGCGTGGTAAATTTGCGTTCAGCGGGGACGACTGTTCAGCGGGATACGAGTGTTGAAAAAAAAAATGACGATAGGTCCCACACTCGCGTCCCTCTTGAAAATTAAATAGGACCGACGAGGCAAAAAAAAACCGCGATAAATTCGGTCCATACAGGACCGTACAGGGTTCGAACCCGACATAAAACGTTGCAACGATTCTGATTGGCGGACACCGGCTTTGTTCCATTTGGCAGCCAGGACGTATGTTGATTTGAACGATAAAGTGGACGCCGGCTTAAAACAAATAATACCATAATACTATAATACTTCAGCTCTATCTGATCGATCAGAGGATTCTGTGTGCTTGTGCGTCTCGTTTCAAGTCGGAAACGTTAGTGGACAATACGAGAGAAAAACCGTATGGGTACCAACATCGTTTATCGTTCGCCACGACAAATAGTGTAATGGTTTTTATTTTTTTTACTTTACGAGTTTTTAATTTTAAACACTAACACGGTCGTCGTGGGTTTACCACAACAGTCGTCGAATAAAAATCTGTGTTAAAAAAACAAACAACAGAAATAGTGTAATTTTAAACGAATAAGCGAGAGAAGAACCGCGAAAACGCAGTAGGTCGGGAAATCCTTGTGATTTTTGTATTGTTTTTGTATTCGATTTGGATTTTCGTCCCGTTCGAGTGTTAACAAAAATACATTATTATTATTGTTTAGATTCTGAGCGTGGCGAGGGTTCTATCGGTTTTACTATGATGCGCATTTTTTATCTGTCTGTACAGAGGTCGGAACTGTGTCCGTTGAAATTGTTTTTCGCAAAAAAGCAACAATGTGAAAATATTCGCCCACCTTAAATTTTTGAACGTACCGTGTTCACAAACCTTATGTGTTTCGACCGAAGCTTCACGGTTCTAATTCTGCGTCGTCTTACAATGCTGTACCCGAGTTATTTAATTTCGCTATGTTGCCCGTTAGTCGGACCGAGACACTGATAGTGGCGCCGAACTTATACATTTAGGGCTTTCCCCCCCCCTCACCCAACCGGTCGGACAATAAAGCAACCGGCGTTTTTTACACATAGACCAGGGTCCGCGACGCCTCGGACGGACGGGCCCCGTAGTGCCGGCGGGCGCGTTTTTTCACCTTATCGCCTGGAAGTTTCGGCGAGCGATCGCGTCCCCCAGAACGTCTACGGAAACCGACGTCGAACGCGCGGGGCCGATTTCGGACGACACCCTGGCACCGCCCGTTATTATCGCGTTTCGACCCGCGGATATTGAGGACCCCCGACCGGCGGATCGCCGAACCGCGTGGCGATACGCGCGCGACGGTACAGCGGCACGCACGGGAGACGCGCGCAAAGTCCCGCGGACGGTCGGCCGTCACCGGGTCACGCGCGCCGGCATCGGCCGGCCTCGTGCGGGAGCCCCGGACACGTTACTGTACGGCGAAGACGCGCCAAAAACGTACCGTGATCATCCGGCGTCCGGTCGTGCGTTACGGCAGCTTTTCTGTACGACAGCGTGTACACGGAAGAATATAATAAAAAACAATGAAAAAAAAAACCGCCGTTTCCCGGACAAAACCGTACCGCCGTCGTGATAACAGTAACGACAACGTTGTCGGGTTGAAAAATACAACTCGCCGTCTCGCCGTCGGGACCGCGGTGCCCCGACGCCGCGGTCTCCGCGTCACAATATAACGCGCAGTAGTAAAAAAAAAAAATAAAAAAATAAAAAAAATAATAATAATAATAGTAATACGTAATAATATCGTCGTGATCTCTCCTCGTAAACCGGCAGCACTTTGTGGCGGCCCGGCCGGCCCGCCGCCGCCGCCGCCGCAACCGCGTGTACTTTGCCCGCGCGTGTATTTTTTTTTTTCGACTTTTTTTTTTTTTCATCATTTTTATTATTATATATTACGTTATTATTATTATGTTTTTCTTTTCTCGTCTGTCGTCGTCGTCGCCGCCGGCCCGTCCGCAAACCGTACGGTCACGACGCGTTACAAACGCACACACACACACACACACACACACAAACGCACACACACGACTCGATAATAATGCGTTTTAACCGCGCGTCGTGTGCGAGTTTACCGTATTACAGACGTATTTTAATAAGACCGTTCACTGCGCGTATACGCGATAGTATTGCGTGTGCCGGACGCGCACAATACGATCGTACCGCCGTGTACCGGGAATCGACATGTCCGCGTTCGTTCCCGGGCCCGCAAAACGTTCTTCGTGCGCCGGGCCCGGTTCAGCGGCGGTTTCGGGGGGGGTACGGCGGTCGCCCCCCGATCAACCCCGAACCGCGACAGATCACGCGGTTTCGGCTCACGCCGGCGTGCGTCGAGAAACCGGTGTTTCTGTTGACGGTATTTTCGAGCGCTTTTGCGAATGGCGAAAAACGTAGACGTTTAGATTTTGTCACTTTGATAAACACAATCCGTCAAAACATTGCTCGTTTCATCGCGCGGGCGGTTAAATAATTTGCATTCGCTTATAATTTCCGTCAATATAAAATGGATAACTATCAAATGCGCATAGGCTCGTTATAACTGGGATCGACTCTCGGGTAAGAGAAAAAAACGTTTTTTTGCGCCCTGCTAATAAAATCGACCCCACCCATTGAAATTTCGTCGAAACCCCCGCTGGCCGCGTTCCGTTTTCGCGACAACGGCGGGCGCGTTGCGGTTGCGTACGATACCGATTGCGTTCGGAACTTTTTCACTATTACGATCGCGTACCGTTGTTCGTGCACCCGGCATAACGAATTTCGATGTAACGGATTTCCGATACACTTGGCGCGATTTGTCGCTCGGCCGCTGCAAATTCGTTATACCGCGAGTGGACTTTAATGGCGACGCGTCTAACCGCTCGAAAAACCTCCCGCATAACCATTAATATTACGTATGGGCTAAGAGACTTCTAAATCTAAAAGAAAAAACTCGCGCGTACTGTGCATGTACAAATGCGCATAAAAAAAAACAACTAATTCAATATCGCCACTTTTTATTAGAACGTATTCACGTAAAAAATTTGCGATTCGAGATGAAATATTGATCAAGTCCAACGGTTAACCGAACGTACTGTTTTACGGCAGTCCGTTCGGCTATCGAAAAAAAACGCGCGCTACGAAACACGGATGTGTGTGTGCGTGTGTCCGTTTATAGCGTTTAAAAGCTACACGTGCATTACCGAGACATTGAAGGGATACATTTATGCGGATTGATACGGACAGCAGTACGAACATAGTTTATGTGTTTGACTCGTCTAGTTTTTTTAGTTTTTTGTTTTGTTTAGTCTTTCAAAAGTAACGCGCAATAATACTGGGGCGTCTCCGACTCTGTAATTGTTATATCGGCGACGAGCGATTGTCGAGAAAACGGTTTTTTTTTTTTTTTCCATTCGTTCGGACCGTGCGAACCCGTCGACCGTGTACGCGCGCTCTGCGAAGACGACCGTCTTCGTGAAGAAACGACGACGAGTAGTTTTTCGCCACTACATGGGTGGGTACCTGTAAACGCACGCGGCACACCCGCAGTAACCGATTTTTTATTATCATTATTACAGGGACCGCTTATGCGCGAATTTGCCGCGGGAAATCGCGGAGTTCCGGCAGTCTGTAGCGCGTGTTTCGAAGTTTAAGCGCTTGTTTCGCTTTTTCCGTGCATGTTTGGCGATGGCGTTCTCGATACCGCGGGCTTCGGAACGTCCCGATAACGAGGCGCAATTCAAACGGTCTTGGATATCTAACGCGTTTGATCGTTTCTGTTACCGCACTCGGCGTAAGACGGTAATCGCGTCGATTACCGCGAACAGGTTATCGGTTATAGGTTGGCCCCGCCCGACCTGACCTAACCGCCGTAATCGAACCGCGCGCGGTTCCGCGTTTTTATGGACATTTTCTAGGCGTACCGGTGTATTCGATTGTATTAATGTTTGTCGCGCGTTTCGTCTGCGATTTTCGGTGAATATCCGCGCGCGTCGCGTTATCCCGACGTGCGTACGTTTCCCCGGCCGCGCCCGTACCGAATTCCGGAAAAAAACGTTTTCTTCCGCAAAAACGTTTAGCGCGCGCGTATTCGCGCGGCCGTTTTCGCGAAATCCGCTCGGCCCCGGGGTAATCCGATTTCCCGAGGGCCGGGAAAGCGTACGCCGTCGTGACGGCGTTTCTATCGTCGGGGCCGCGAGCCGCACGACGCGCTCCGGGAACCGACGGTGGCCCCGCGCCGGGACGGAACCGCCGCACCAATCGCGACGCGTCCACCAAACCGACCGGCGAATCGCGCACGGTCTCGTCGGGCGGCCGCGGAGTGCTGCCGACCCGGTCACTCGCGGCTCTCGAGCGATCCGCGCGGGCTGCGGTTCCCCGAAGGGAGCGCCGCGAACAAGTGCACGGCATCGCGGACAAGCCGTGGGAGCGCTTAGCGATACGACGCAGCACAGCCAACCGGTTTGCGCGAGCCCGCCGAATGCCGGACGGGCGGCCGGATCACTAGACGGGTACCAGCGTCTCGGATCGAATTAGGTCTTTCCTACGAGAAAGCGCGCAACGCCGGCCGCTGGCGATTAACCGTCGAGAAACGGATGCGGGCGATCGCGCGCCGGATGGCTTCTGGTGCGGCGGACAGTTGCGTTTGCGCGCGACGTCCGTCCGGCACCGGCGGGGGCAACCCCAAATCTCAGGTCCGGTCGATTGACGACGAGCCGTGTAACATTTTGGGTACGCCGCGACGGCCGTCGATTCGTTCGCACGCACGGCGATCCGACGCGTCGGCGTACGGACGCGCGAAACTGTGGCGCAGGACGGCCGCGGGACCGGAACGGCGCGATCGAAAATGGAACGTTAACGCGGGTTTTTTGTTTTTTGTTTTTCGTCCCGTTCTCGGTGTTTCGGGATCGGAACCGGCACCGCCGGCAGACTGGACGGCGTGATTGTCGCGGTAACGTTTTGACATTTTTTTCTTTTTCCCGGACAACCGCAAAGCGATCAAATCGAATATTAACGGAAAACGATTCTTCATAAAAATCGCGGCCGTAAAAGAATGTCGGTATCAAAAACAACGCGAGTAATTTTAAACGCTTCAAATACAATTATAACCAATATATATGTTTTTTCCTTACGCCGCGCGCACACGCAACGTTTATGATTTATTACAGTCGGATTGTTCGATTAAAATTATTGATGACTCGGAAAGAAATAATAATTTTTAATAGCGTTTAGAGCAATAAAAATTCTTTCAGAAATACTCATTTTGTCGGTAAATATGTTTTATCACGGTAGTTTCTATTTAATAGATAAAACAATATCTTTATTAAATATTATTATAACTCTTGAAAAAAAAAAAAAATTCGGGTGTAAAAATTTAAACGATGGTTGTATACGTCTGTATACAATTATATTTTATTATTGCACTATAATGTTGTTTACCAATTAGATAATGTTATTCAGTCGATGGAAAAAAAAAAAATAAAAACATTATTAAATATTTACCTAAATGGGTTCCCAAACCTTTAAAGTCCTATAATTTACATCTGGCGGTTGAAAAAAAAAAAAAACGATATTTTTACAAATTCGGGCGGAAAAGACGGGAAACAATAGGGCGGAAAACGATGGCGCCGCGGACGATATTAGCGTGTTCGGTTCCCTCCCCCCCCCCGGTCGCGGCCGAGACAATTTCGAAACGGCGAAAAACGACCGTTCCAGAAAAAAAAAAAAAAGACATCGCCAGAACTCGGTTCGGAATACCCGTACAGACGCCGTTGTCGCCGTTTAGGTACCGCCGTCGCGGGAAAACGGCCGAAAACGGCCCGCGCCGCCCAGCGTATTTCGACCGACTTCGTTTACACGTTCCGGTCCCGACGATAACCGCGGTCCGCGATTACGCTGTCGCTACAATCACGGCGTTAAATCCGTGGGCGGGTGAACAAAAAAAAAACCGCGGTTCCGGAACGGTTACGCGAAAACGACCACCGCGTTCGGACACGGGGTAATAACATCCTGACACGGGAGACGGTGATTTTTGTCGTATATTCCATTGTTTACCGATAGAGAGACAGAGAGAGAGAGAGTGAGAGAGATTATTTTATTGTGCCGTTCCCCGCGGCCGGCCGAATATGCGTCGCGACGAGACGTACCACGACTGTACGGGGGGATACGGTGGTTCAGAGACGTCGCCGAGCAACGATAGCGAGCGGAGATTAACAACACTGTATAATGTCGCGTATACGACCGCGAGTACCTCTGTAATAATATTTACGATCTCTCTAGGTCTCCCCGGTAGTTAATCCGACCGGACGTCTGGCCGGCAGCCTGCAGATGTCGGAGGGCCACTTATTCTTATCTGCGGCGCGTAGCGCAATATAATAATACAACAATAATATTTATAGGCGTATCAAAAAAGCCGATAAAGTAACGTTGAAAATCGCCTGCGGATCGTTTCGCGGCGTGCGACGCCGTGGAAAAAAATCACTGCGAAACGCCTAAAAAACTTCCGAAAAAAAAAAAAAAAAATTCTACAAATTTATTGCCCGCAAACAGTCAAATGTCATTACGATGTGTATATCTACATAGTCAACATACACATTGATTGGAAATTTCCGGCCAGTCGTACTCTAAGCGTCACGCGTACACATTACGTTACGGTTAATGTTGAAAATCGGGATGTCAATGTTTTCGTTCAATAGAAACGATTTTGTGCGGTTAATTTTAATATTATAGCGAATCGACCTGTTATCAAACTTAAAGGTAAGAACATTGATTTAAAATTCAGATATTTTGATTTTCAAACAGCATACGAGTGTGTGAAATATCCATTGTAGTTGAAAAAGCCTCGACAATTGAAATATCGAGTTCAAAACCAATAAAGATATGTTGAGATACAGAATGTACAGATCACAATCTCACCTTTAATAATACGATAAAAGACTAATTATTCACTCTAATATTAAAATTAACATCACAAAACCGATTCTACTGCGTGAGTACATATAAATATATACACAGTGTACTCACGTATTTGAATAATTTCTGTTTAATATAAACCGGTCAGAATAGTAATTTTTCTACATTTTCTATCACGGCACCTAAAGTATAATTTCAACGATTTGTTTGTAATTCTCAACAGTTCACCCGCTATAGATGTTTTTTTCAAAAAATATTTTCTATCAATAAAAATGCGTCACATTGTACGTTGGTGGACGTAGATATTATTTATTTCATTTTTTTTAGTGTGGTGGTTGCAGTTTTATTTTCACTCCTATTGGCATAACATTTTTTCGAACAAACTCGTGTGGAAACAAAACATTTTGAAAGGCATCTTGTCCCCGCGACGGGTTTCCTGAAAGCTCGGACGGCTTGAGTTCGTTCTCAGGAACGCGTCTGAATTATTGGAAAATATTGCGCGCTCCCCCCTCTCGAAGTCTTTCCCGTTTTAACCGATGTTATCAAGTAAACACTGTATAAGCATACAGATGATATAATCAATATTAATCAATATTACGCGACTTAAGACACTCACCCGTCCCGAAATATTTGGGCTGTTTGCCCGTACAATCATGCTTGACGCATTGTGTTTTGTAGTCCTTAAGTGTTTGCTGTCATAAGACCGCGTGGGCGGATGTGCGGATGACGATAACAATAATTAAAACTTACGTGTACAATCGTTTGTTAGCTGTACGGCCGTATGATTTATGCGTGCCGGGGTGGCCGCCGAAAGGGTTGAGAAAACAATGGTGTGGATATCAAAAAAAAAAAAAAAATCGTCTCGGACGCGTGTGTGTGCACTCGTATATTATTATATTATTCCGTAATGATGACGGAGCGTTTATTTTATACATGACGACGGCGATGCGATGGTATCCCCCGCAGCCTGCATCGCATAGATCGATAATTAAGATTACGAATTTCATTAACGAGACGTGCCGGGCCAGTGTATATAGATAATAGTACTACGCTAAACTCGTACCAGTTCGTCTTTTTTTTTTTTTTTTACGTCATCGTGAACGTAATATTTTTTAGATTATGAGCGAAGCGAAGAATGCGTTGTTTTTACTATGATGCGTTTTTGTTTTCGTTTTTTGTTTGTTTTTGTTTTTTTTTTTTTTTGAAGCGTTTTCAACAAAAATCCGGTAGTGTTTTGTACGATTTTTGTTGATTTCTGGGTCACTTTGACAACAGAAATACACCCAATAACACTCTGCTCAGAATCGTTTTTCGTCATTAATACGTTTTATCGTTGGGCACGGACATGCATTAAATTGTTCTATAAATGTGATTTTATTCAACTTTCCACCGATAACAGTGGCACAGCCGTCAGCAGTATTAGTTCTTTTAGTTATTTTTTTTCACCCGCAAAGTCACGACCGCGATCGCGTGACATCGACCCTCGTCCTTTTCTTTCCCCTCTTACTCCTCCACCAACGACGACGACAACCGGATGAAAAATAGTCCCGTTTCGAAAATATATAATAATGCAATATGATTTTAATACCTCCTATCCCGGAATATTACTAATCTCGCGGATCGCGGTCCTCGGCTCTCGGCGGCCGTATATACGCGTACGGCCGCGCGGCTGCGGATGATATCGCCGGAGAACCGCCGCCACCGCCCGCGACATCCATCAATCTGGATTATGCGACGCGTACGCGTTATACACTCGCATGCCCATATTATACAGGAGAGGGTGCTTCTCTTTCCCTCGTTTTTTTTTTTCACGACGACGACGACGACGAAAAAAAAACACCGTATGCGTTTTGCATAACGTTCGAAACATACGTGCGCGTATTATAATATATTAAATAAATGCGCCGCACGCGCTCATCATCGTAGAAATCGTATTTTCTCGTTTTCCGTATCCATTATCCGTCCCGTTTCCCGGCCACCGGGAAACGGCGGGCCGGATGGACGAAACGCGCAAGTTAAACAATATGGTAAATACGAGAAAAACACGATACACTCGCAACCGTTATGTCTTTGGTCCCGGGGAAGGAGGGCTTATTGTTTTCGGTACAAGCAAATTTAATTTTGAAAATACATACAATTGTACACAAACAATTACGCTCATGTACACTTATGGAATTTAGACCGAAAAATAAAATGGTAAGAAATCACCATTTTTCAAATTTATACATAATTTAAAAAAAAAACCCTAAACATTGTCTTAAGCTCTTTTTCCCTGTGTCCCAAAAGAATTATACATGCGCATGCACGACGTGGACAAGATGCTATTTTAAAAAACGGCTAGGCTTATATAGCTCTAGAGGTATAGGTATTGAGAAATAATCGGAAAGGTATGGCAAATATGAGAGAAAAGGGTTGATACTATTTGCCGGGTGTGCCACTGTCGAATAAATGAGAGTTAGGGTAGGAAGATTTATACGGTTTAAATGTATTTTGAAATGTCGCGATAATATTACGATTTCATTAAATTTATTTGAATTCATTCATTTGAACTTTAAACTTTTATAAACATAATTATAAACGTTACGCATATTTTATTTTTTATATTTTATCCATATTAAACCGACTAAAAACTAAAACAGACTAGACAATTTCAAATGACAATTATAAATTACTCGAAAACCGCCAAAATGGTTTCCAAATTCAATTCAATGTGGATGTTGCGGTTGAGTTAAATGTTTAAAGGAATGTCAGAGGAGGAATAAAGACGAATTAAATCTGCGCGTTTTGGAGACAATTTAGTGCGATCGAATATAGAATTATGGGTTGGCGGTTGACAATGTTATCGGCTGCGAAACATAAAAACGTACAAAATGTTTATAAATTATCAACCTGAAATATTACCCTTGAACATTGTTTTTTTGTAACAATGAACTGTTAAATGGATGTCAAACGAGGAATTTCGGGACAGTTTTCGTATAACGCTAAAGAAAAATAAAATTTATTCTTCTATAGTAGAAAATAGCAGAGTAGATACCCCGATATACCGGTTTTGGAAAAAATCTATTGTCTACAGATGTGTTAATTATAGCACGCGAAATTTTGAAATTTTGATCCACGAAAATGTGATAAACCAGACTATTATTCGCTAAAAATCTTCGTCGATTTGATCATATCATATTTTACGTTCAAAAGAACGTGTTAACATAAATAAATGCATTATGATGAAATAAAGAAAACCGTATGTTTACACCGATTTTTGGCTATGTAGGATCTGCACACTACATTTTGAAATCAATGCGTTTTCTGTCGAAAGTTGCTAAGGAATTATCTTATATTATACATGTATGTATTATACTAGAGTTCTAAATAATATTATTATAAAATATGTATATTTTTTTCAATTTTAAATAAATTAAGAATACAAGAATCGAGAATTATTATGTCGTCACCGAGATTCATAGAACTATCGCGTCCAAAACAACGTCCAATGGTAGAGGAGCGTACGCTGCCGGCGCCGATACCGAAAGCGGCGTTACGCGGCACAGTCTCCGATCGCATAATAGAATTAGCTCAACCGAAAATTAGACGGCCCGATCCAGAATGCGAGACACAGAAGCCAATTATTAATCGTTCCCAACCAACGATTAGAAGAAGGAAAAAAACGTCGGACAAGCCTAATAAAAACGTGACACTTTTGGAAACGGAACAACGCGAAGCGATTCGTAATCTGACCTGCGGTAAGCCTAAAACCGAGGCGAACCTACTAGAACTACAAGAATGGCTCAAGAAGAACGCAACGCCCAAAAAGCTCATAGTCCAGCCGCCACCGGTAAAAACTGAAAAGCTTAGATTCATATAAATCAGTAGTGTTATTGTAAATTTGAAATCGTATAATATAATGTGCATCGCTTGAATATTAATAGGAAAATCGGTTGTTTATTGTTTAAACCGAAACGCATTAATAGTCACTGATCAAACATTGAGAAACGGTTTACATGATATACATGTAGATGTATGAAAAGAAAGAGGCGAAATAAAAAAAAAAAAATATAGATAGGTGTATAAACATATTATTGCATTTAAACTGTAAGTACATATAAGTGAATACGTAAGCGACGAATAAACAACGAATAAAAGTCGACTGTATGGAATTGGTGACTGCTATTCAACAATGGTAATTGTTGTTTTTATTATCGATTTTCAGTGACGTAGCCAGGATTTATCAATGGTCTCCCTCCTTTGTCGCTATAGCTATAGCGTGAAAAATAACTACGGGGGTACAAAAGCCGAAACTTCCCGCGGCAACGCCACCGTCAGTTCCGGTAAATACCACCGAAACTTGTTTATACCTGTGACTAACGAACAACCGTTGATAACGAAAAACGATTCGGAGCGAAGTTCCGTTATACATGTTTTGAAAAGCTATAATATTTAATATTGTCGTCAAAATTTTATATATAGCGTATATATATATAAAAAAAAAAAAAATACTATATTAACATAACGTAACTTCCTATCAAATTTTCAATCGTTTCTAACGGTTTATCTACAGACTATACAATAATATATATATATATATATATATGTGTGGGTATACATTTTTCAAACCGACTGTTGAAATATAAATTTCTTCCGGTCGGAAAATCCGCGTTTACGATTCCGCGCTGTGTGAACGTTTTTGAAAAATACCCCGCAAATTACTACGGGAAACGATAACGAAAGACGTGACCGACGACGGCGCACGGAGAACGACAATTCGTCGTTTTCTTCTGTAAAGTTCGACGGACTTGCTCCGTAATACCTATTGTATTACGGCGCGGTGAGGAGTGGGGAGGGGGGCGGATTTGACCTCGGAAACAATAACGTACCTATAACCAACATAGATACCGCGGCGATGTCGATAGAATCACGACGAAAATATTCGAGGGGCGGATTATTATACCGAGCGCATAATAGTAGATTTAGGTAGGTATAGGTACTATTATTATAATGGTTTTTTTTTTTTTTTTTTTTTGTTGTTGTTGGCGAGGAGTCCGGTTTTCGAGGTATATAGGTACGGAGCCCGTCGGAAACGTTGTATTTATTCAGATCAGTGTACTCTCGTACATACTATAGCTTCGTGGGTGGCTGATGCTGCAAAAGGATCGTACTGCCGGCCGTCGATCGCGGGACGTTTTCGAATCCTATTTTCTCCGGACACGTGAAACCGACCATTAAACAATTTTCGAGAAAAAAAAAATAAAATAAAGCAATAATAAAAACTAGGCATTTGACCGACCGGAGAAACGATATTAAAAGTATTCACGGGGGAGACGGGGAAATATTACACCGCGGCATTATCGTAGGACTTTTTTTTTTTTTTTTCCAATAACATTCCGTAATCTGAACGCGGGGATAATTCTGCGTGGGATATTATATCCTATGCAGTGGTTGAACGGGAAATAAACGCCGGGCACTCTAGAGTAATCGAAATTAAAGCGTTTTCGGAAAATATTCGGTCCAATATATACAACAAATGTCACGTTTTTAATACATTTTTTTCTTTTACCAGGTACCTAGTACGACGTCGTTTATAAGAACAATTATTATGAATGTGTATATATTTTTGAAGTTATAGGTACATTCGAAAATTATAATACACCGTATATACAATGGGCGGTCATCACCTGTCTCGCATTGCTTATTATACGGTTTGACCTCGTTCGGGTACGTGTTTTTCGGTTTACATCTGCAACCGTTCAATCCGAATCATAATTATCACAATACACGTATACGATATTATAAGACATTATAACGGACGTCTACGTCGTATTGTTTATTCACGAAAATTGTGGATCGAAACATTCTAAAGACACATCCTCAACGGCAATACTATTTACCATTTTATCCGAATTATACTTATTTTCACGAGTCTATAAGGGTATTTAAAAACTGGCGTTTATTGTGAAAACACGAAATCTGAGCGTAAAAACGGTCGGAGAGAGAGTTGAAAGTTTTAAAAGTTAAAACCACCAAAAGGCAAACACTTGATACTTACGCAACATGTATACGAAATAACATCCTCCCGCGGTTTTGTTTAGAGATCTGTAGGGGTGTACAACGCTAAATACACCGTCCTCTCACAATAACAAACACTACCAAAATTGTATCACTTCAATCCGCCTATAAAAAAAAAAAAAATAAAATAAATAGTAACTCGAATTCCCGAGTTTGAACTCTTTTTTGGCTAAAAGTATACAAATGTATATATATATATATAGATATTAAAACAGTGTTATAGTCTCTATTTTCTGGGAAAATTCGAGAAAAACCGGCAAAGTTCACGAGAAACCCGTTGAAATTATATATAATTTATTCAAATTTATTATACATTTTAACATCGAACGAGGAAATTGAGAATAAGGCACAATTATGAACTCCAGGATCATTTTCAGACGCCCTAGCATCACCAAAGAAATTTGAACGAAAAAAATGAAACAGGAGGACCTGTATGGAGAAAGTGGGTATCAATAATAATGACTAATAAAAAAACCACCCAACAGAAAAGCAACCACTAGGAAGACCTTGCTTAGGATGGGAGGATCGAGTAGTGTATATTGTTATGGACGCAGGAGTTTTTGCTTGGACGGCTGATTTTAAAGGCCGTTACCCTTTAAACATGGGGAAGTAAGAAGATATTATAGTTAGTGGCTGGTAGGAATACGGATAAAACTTTACGATACGGTAAATATGTCGTCTAGAATGGTATATAAAGGTTCTAAACACAATTACTATATAGTATAATGATACATAATTTATGAAAAAAACCGTATATATAAACACATCTCGTCTATTCTCTCAAGAATATTCTTGTTATTTTTTTTTTTTTATGGATTATTAAAAAACTAGAAAAATGTGGACCGAGAAACGACTGCAGCGTATGCCAAGTACACGTGTGCAGTGGCGGCGGCGGTTTTATTACTTTTATGTATAGTAGTTCTTTATATAATATTTTTATATTATTATATACGTCTAAAAAAACATCGAAAATATTATTATACGCACCGGGCTAAGCCAACTCGCTGCGTACGACAATCAAACGAGTTAAAGTAAAAAAACAAAACAAAAAAACAAAATTGTTTTTAACCGGTCAGACGCGATATTTCGAACTCGTGCGTTTCGATTTCCATATTTTTAAGGGTCGTATATCTTTCTCGACGTTTTATTATCTGTAGTCGTGTTGGTTTTTTAAGAATCTTTATTATTATTTCTTTTACGATGTCCGTGACCGCTTTTTCGTTTGATGGTATAGTAAAAACCACCCGAAATTACATTCATCGCCCCCCGTAAACCCCTTAAAACAGATTGTTCTGCCTGGCACCCTCTTATTAACACTCGAATTTTGAACATTAAACATAATTGATTTATTTTTCTCGATTTGTGGGTTACACGGGAGATAAAAAAAAAAAAAACCTACCGCTGTAATTAGTTGAATCGACTACATTCAGTATCGTTTTTCGATTACGATGATTTAATATCACGGTTACACATTCGGTATTTTAAAATGAATTCGCTCTATAACAAAACAACCTCTAAAATACAACTGGTCTTCCATAACACTATAACACGAGATCTGAAAATCTAATATTTCCCAAAATGAACGCCTTAAAATATTTTGAATAACATACGAGTATAATGACTGGTTTTTGAGTACCTAAGACGATACAGCCAGTGAATTTGTAAATATTCGTACACTTATTGTTAACTTTCAAGCATCAATGCTGCTGAATAAATAAAAAAGTAACACCGTAACACTGTTTTGAATGTTGTTTATTACAATAATTATTGTGTACTTATTTTTTTTTGTTTTTCATTTTGATATATTCTAGGCGTTGTAGGCCTATCGCCGCTTCCACTGCACGCATCCTGGACTCCTTGTCCTTGGCCAGTTGTTCTGCATCTCTCATTCCCAGGAGCTCTTTCCCAGGTCTTTACTGATCCGATCAATCCATCGGTGTCTTATTAATTATGGTCGTCCTCTCAGTATTTGTTCGTCTGGTAAATAATTATCGACTTTTTATTACGTTCAATTTCGGGAAATTTCGGTAACAAATTGATTTGGTTCGACTTCTAATAATCGATTTTCGATTTCTTTCTTTTTTTTTTTTTTTTTATTACATACACTCTACTTGCACCAAGCCACAGATACGTGTAACAATAGTGGTCACAATACATAGTTATACATCGTGTGAAGTAATATGTCGTCACTTTTTTATTATTATTATTATTTTAACGCGCTTCCGTTTTTACGACTCGAACACGTCGTAACGGATCGCGACGACCGTAATCGAAAATGTTAATCGTAATAACGAGATAAAGACGGGCTGAGAATGAGAGAGGGAGAGAGAAAATATGAAATTCAATTTACTCAAAGCCGCCGATTGTCACGTATGTCGTCGTCGTCGTCGTCGTCGCCGCGCGTAAACGACACCGGTGGTGACTTGGCGATGGTCGCATTGAAATATTATTACGAATCGAGGAGAGTGACTCGGGGGAGGAGAGCTGGAGGTAAACTGAACGGGGGGGGGTGGTGGGCAGGGGGAGGGCAAACGTTTTAAACGTTTCGCTTCGTACGCAACCGTGTAATCGTCTCCGGTATATCGTGTGCGCATGCACAGCTATACAATTATTCGGTTTCTCGTTATTATTATTATTTTTTTTTTTATTTTTTTTTTTTTACTTCACATTATATTGGTATACCTACTTGTGCTTATACAACCGAACCAGTCGCGTTTTTTTTTCCACGAAGCACCGGGCCCCACGCGTGTGTAAAATTAAATATTACTTATGTAACAAGTATACAGATACCTGTATATTTAA